CCATTTTCTCCTCTACATCTGAGATTCTATTTTCTGAATGATCTAGTCTGCTTTTAATACTTTCAAGGGAGTTTTTTACTTCTTGTATTATAGACTTCATCTCTAGCAGTTCTGTTTGAGTCTTTTGTAAAGTGTGTAATTCCTCTTTTAGATCTTGCAAGAATTTCCTCATCTCCTGGAACTCGTCAACTTCTTTCTCCTTTCTCTTTAGCAGTTCTTCATCTATCTTCTCTTCCATCTCTGTTAGCTTAGACATTATGAATGATCTGAATTCCTTATCAGACATTTCCATGATTTTCACTGAACTGCTTGTGGATGAAGAGTTACTCTTTTCCCTTGGAGGAGAGGTATTTTCTCGTTTTCCCATATTTCTCATGATCCAGTGATTTCTTGTCATCTGATGGATGTTGTGTTTCTTTCAAATTCTTCAAGTTCAGCCACTAGCTCGTTTGTTGGAGGCTGAATTATTAGTAGAAAACCTTCATTCCCTTAAAAATCTTAGTTCACTGTAGCCATGTGGAAACTTCTCCTGAAGGCCCGTGGCTTCTTCTGCTGCTAGCTCGTTCGTTGGAGGCTGAATTATTAGTAGAAAATCTTCATTCCCTTAAAAATCTAGTTCACTGTAGCCACTTGGAACCTTCTCCTGAAGGCCTGTGGCTTCTTCTTAATCATAAGACTTGTTAAGTGCTGAATTTTATTCACTGGTTACTAAAATTTGCTTTTCAAATTGGACTGTTCTGATATTTTAAACTGAGATTTAATTCATATATAGGTTTCTTCTGGTGGTTAAATAACATTCACTATATCAGGATAAATATTCTCATATTAGTATTGAAATTCCTGGCAAATCAGATTGATCAATAAAAATGTTCTGCTATTTTTGGAATCTATGTTGCAAATTTCATAAGTAACTAGGCCAAGTAATTTATATTCTTTAAATACCAAAGGCTTACTATATCTGCCAGACCTAATTTGGTATGATGGTCAGACAAATCTCTTTATAATATTTTCATTCCAGAGGCAATAAAACATCTGGTGCCAGGTTCTACCTATGACTCAGTTATTTCATACTGGATGTGAAAACATGCTCCTCCATATAGTATCTCAGTGGTAGATGATTTTCATTATACAATTGACATTGTACAGGTTAACATTTCAAACATTGAGAATTGTTGGCACTGTGATATTTTCAATTTTAGCTTAATATATAGTTTTTTGAATCTGTGTCATCTGGTCTTTCTTGGGTGTTACCTTGACGAACCCAGTAGAGAATCCAACTGTGTCAGGTAGATTGCATTTTTATGAATATTAGGCAACTATTATTGTTTTCAACTGATGACAGGTTTCTACTTTTTTGGTTTTTGGAGAGGTTTTTTTTTTTTTTTTTTTTTTTTGTAATGGGGCACATGGTCTCACCAGAAAGAAAGAGATAGGGCACATGTGCTCACCAGAAAGACAGAGATAGACAGAGAAATAGAAAGTGAGAAATTACCCCCCAGTGGGGATGGCCACGTCACAATCCCTTCTCCTCTATTCTCTTTTCGGGATCTTGGACACACATGCACACATGCCCAGCTTGAGTTTAAGCCACCAGGTCCGGGACTCAAAACACCATTGGCTACATGGGAGTTCAGCAACATAGCCATTATGCTAACTGCTGGTCCCAGGTTTCTACTATTTGAACAATGCCTTTATTTGTTCTTTCTAGCTAAAGCTAATTCTGTAGGCATCCTTCTAATATGATTCAAATCTCCCTGACTCTCCACTGTCACCACTCTATTGCACATTAGAGTAGTTTTTCATCTGGGAAAACATTTTTCATCTGGTTTATCTGTAGACGCTGAGTTCAAATCTAATCTAAACTAACCCTGCAGCCAGAGCAGATATTTTAAAACTCAAATGTGTTTATGCACTCTCCTCTCTCTCTCTTTTTAATTTTTTTTACATTTATTCATTTTTTTCTTTAACAAGTCAGAGAGAGAAAAAAAAGAGAGAGAGGGAAATGACCCCCTTGCAACAGTGTCCTCACATGTGATCCATCCCCTGCCTCAGCCAGCTCTAACCACTGGCCCACATGTGGAGCATGCACAGGGAGACCTTGGGAAGTGAACCCAGAACTTCCCACATGGCTTCAGTGTCACCGAGTATGGTGTACCACTCACCACCACGCTTGGCCCAGGTACTCTCTTTTTATCAGAAACTTCCTTTGCCCTTAAGATAAAAGCCACAGTCTTCAATATGGTCTGCAGTGTCCCACCTGTCTCACGTCCTCTTACCATTCACCTCTGCTGCACTTCATCCCATTACACATGACCTCCAGTTCTTTCAGTGGGCCATACTGTTTCTTGCTGCTCCTTTCTTTTGAATAACTCTTCGCATTCTATATTCTTTGCTCTAATACGCCTCCCATTTCACTCTTACCATGAAAAATCACCTCACCATCACTTTTTTTTTTCTTTTTTTTTCTCCCTAGGGTGAATGTGCTCGTTGGAGACAAGATATAGTGAGAGGAAAGTGAGAAATTACTCCCTCGGGGGATGGCCACCCTGAAATCCCTTCTCCTTTATTCTCCTTCTCCTGAGATTTTGGGCACACACACACACTTTCACATGATCCCCAAGCCACCAGGTGCAGGACTCGGACTGCAGTCAGCCATTTGGGAATCTGGAGGCCTAACCATAACACCACCTGCTGGACCTCTCACCATCACTTCTTCAGGGAAGGCTTACTTGCCCTTTAGTTTACTTCATTGCAAGCTATCGATGGGCAAGAAATGTACCTGGTTTTGCTCACCTTTATCTCTAGGTCTTGGCACTTTGCTTGACATCTAGAAAGTGCTTCATAAATATTTATGTACTATAAGTTAATTTTTAGAACACAAATTCTGATGGAATAACAGTTTCTGATATTCTTCAGCTAATGGTTAAATGTACTAAAAATGATTAAAATTAAGAATATGCCCTGGTGATATTTATAGCTGCCAAAATACACACACACTTCCTCAGCAATGACCTGTTTCTCTCCAGAGACTTCTACCTTTCTTACATTAGAGTAGTAACTTCCAGCAACAATCTTGGCCTATATTAATTTAAAAATGTAGTTTAATGTAAGGTGCTAATTTGCAAGAAATTAAGAAATACATAAATGCAAGTACATAACAACATTCAAAAGAAATGGGCACCTGGATATAAACCATGGTGTTCTACTAACCGCGGGACAGTCGAACAGGTTCCCTGGGGAAGGGAGTGAGAGATGGGACAAACACATGCACACACAATACGAGATGCTGATCAAGTCTTCTTCTTCCTCCGTCTTCCGTTTATTGAGGAGAAATGACGAGTTATATACAGCCGGTGGGCACCAGTTGGTTGCCCGAAATGCAAATGAGATAGAACAGCATGAACCAATCATTGATGTGGGTGGATCTCTCCCATTGCCTAGAAACCCAACCACTTCCGGGAAGAACGGTTGGTCACATGATTTCTGAGAAACGGTTTACTCAGTGAGGAAGTGAAGCCTAATGGTTTCCAAGATGGTGGATAGCTCAAGATGGCTTCCGTATGCAGTGCCCACCACAAACACCAACCAGAATTAATCTCTGGTTAAGATTTTTCTTCATGTATAAACTAATTTAACTGGTAAAAATGTATCTTTGGGGCCAGTCTATCATAGGTGATTAAAATGACTGTATCCTACACAGACAATTGTATGGCTGACTCCCAACCCAGTGGCTGGAGAAACACACCAGGTGTACACACACCTGTGTGCACGTGCGCACAGGCACACCTGTAGACACATGCCCAAAATTCCGAAAGGAGGGAGAAACAGAGAAGAAGAAATTGTAGTGTGACCATGTCTCAGAGGAGGTACTTTTTCACTTTCTCCCTCTTTCTTCATTTCATATGTGCCCGAGTTCAAACGTAAAATTATGGTTGGTGGTCGAAATTATCTGGGCAGGCAAGATTTTTCTAAAAGAGCCTTATAGGATCAAAGTGAAAGTAGGAAAGAATGATATATCATTTGAAAACAAGGATTTTCTAAATTTCAGCCAGGAAGTCCCAGATATTTGCAGAATGTTATACTACTTAGAGAAGAAAAACAAAACGATGAAATAATTAGTTTGATATAAAATATTCCCAGAGTAGTTTTTTTTATGGATTGTGTAAATTATCATTTCAGTATCATATATCTAATATATAATGCATCAAAATTTAATTGTATCTTTTAGACTAATTCAGGAAGAAAAGGAATCTACGGAGCTGCGTGCTGAAGAAATTGAGAATAGAGTGGCGAGTGTAAGCCTGGAAGGCCTGAATTTGGCAAGGGTCCACCCAGGTACCTCCATCACTGCCTCTGTCACAGCTTCATCGCTGGCCAGTTCATCTCCTCCTAGTGGACACTCAACGCCAAAACTCACCCCACGAAGCCCTGCTAGAGAAATGGATCGGATGGGAGTCATGACACTGGTAAGATAATGTCTCTAGAGAAGCTTTGCTTCCTGTAAGGGTAATGATGTATTAGCTAAGTCTTACTGGTCATTTATTCTGGTCTATGGACTTTCTCTGTATTTTATTCTTTTTTTTTCCATGATAACCCAGTGTGATAGGTACAATTACTAATACTATTATGAAATCAGGGTACCTCAGCACACACAGGTGTTGTCACTTTTTAAAGATCACACGACGAGTCAATGGGAGAGCACAGATCTAAAAATCACATTTGAAATTTGAACAACTTAAACCAGTAAGTATATTTTTTTACTGATGACAGATTGATGAGATGAATTTGAACCATATAGATTTAAGAAATAAATAAATTAAGAACAAAAAATATTTATTAGAATTGCTTCAACATACCAAATTAATAACTTATCATTTTATAATATAAACAGTTCCATTTTCACAAGAGCATTGAGAAGCAACAGCAGCTGTTTCCCAATTTTGTGTTAGAGTTCACGTCCACATTTTTGTGTTTATCTTTTAATTCTTTATTTATGTTTGGGATGAAAACTTGGGAGCCTAAATTAGGAAGTCCCCTGAATACAACGGAAGGAAAATCAAAGTGTCCCTTGCTAGAACAATAAAAATTCTGGAAAGTATGGCAGGAATGACTACTTAGTGCCATGATACTTAGCAATTTAATTCTCAGGAAAACTCTGGAGATAGAGGGGCATTATCTCAATAATGAGTGGAGGAAATCAAAGCTTTACGGATATGAATAAATTGCCCATGTTCAACATAGCTAATAAGAGAAGCTAAATTTTTCTTAAAATTTGCCCTATTTAAAAGTGTATGCTATTTTTTTCATCTGTCTTTACCTGGAAACATGTTGAAATGACAGCAATAATGAAGGTTAAAATATTTTGAACTATTTATGAAGGTAAAATTCTGTGTTTCTGTAATATATATTAAAACTATATTATTGGGGTAGAGACTAATGAAAATGCAAATAGTCAAATAGTTTATATGCTATATGCTATAAAATCTATCATAATTGTAAATGGAGAGAAATTAATGAAATGGAGACCAGTAGTTGGCATAAAGGCTATGTCGCTGGACTCCCATGTAGTCAACTGCGGTTCTAGTCCTGGACCCGGTGCCTTAAACTCATGCTGTGCACATGTGTGTGCGTGCCTAAGAACCCAAGAGAAGAATGGAGAAGGGATGGATTGTGGCATGGCCATCCCCCCTGGTGGGTGATTTCTCTCTTTCTCTCTGTCTCTCTCTGTCTTTCTGGTGAGTGCACACACCCTATAGCAAAAGACTCTAAAAAAAAAAAAAAAAAAAAAAAAAAGAAAAATCAATGATATTGCAGAAAGAATGTTAAGCAATGTCTATGGTCCAAAGATTGTGAAGCTGCTCTAAAAGGGGATAATCTTTTAGTCTCTGTGTGTCATGTGTAATATAGGCTAACACACACAAATACATGTGCAAATAAAGTTTATCTACATGCATCATTAAGTGTTTTGTAATAATCTAATAAATTATAAAAGTTAGTGTAATTTGAATTAATTTATATAAATGTAGATAGTATAAAGGGATTTTTAAAGCATTCATCATAAAGTGGAATCAAAGTACAAGTTCGTTTTAGCACTAAGTGTGTTTAAACCCATGCATAACTTTTTCATTATACACATTTTCCTTGAATACCTCCTCCTGGTGAGTTTGTGTGTGTGTATTAAAGGTCTCTCTTAGGGAAAAGCTATCTTATAAAGCCTTAAGTTTTCATTTTTATTTTCAAAATTTTTACTTTATCTTCACAAAATTTTTGAAATATATAAATATATATCTTTGTATGTTTATGTAGATATCTTTTCCTTAATTTTTCAATATAGAATATAAGCAGAAAATTACTTATATTAGAAATATTTCCCACATACTTTTTATAATTATGAGGTTCTAAGCAATCAAACCTGTATAAAAGAAAAATAATGAAATTAAGAAAAAAAGGGAGAGGGACAGTTATCTCTTTAATCTATTGAATCCTCTGCCCCCCTTGCTGGAGAGGGAGGGGGAAGAAAGGGAGAATGCGCACTGCAGAGACAGTAGTCATGTGTTAATCCATTCTTCCCCAATGTTCTTCTCCTCTCAGGATTTTGGTCAAGTGTGCACAGAGGTCCAGCATGTTTATCAAGCCACTGTGTCTGGATATCAAACTACATGGTCAACCATGTGAGATCCAGCCACCTTAACCACCATACTATTGGCTAGCCCCTGCAAAAATTTACATATTTTTAAATAGAATGGACAGTGGCCAATCATAACAATGAATAACTAATTAGAACTGACTCCATCCAGATACAGCATAGCCTTTTGGTCTGTGTACTCAGATAAGCTCACTAAAAATACTGAACTACAGTGATGTGCTTTTTGTAGAAATCTAGGAACACCCCTCTGATTTATCCACTAGGAATATTGTTATCACTGGTTTAGTTCCTATAATATGGAATCCATGTTACATAATGACCAACTTATTACCAAAACAACACTAAAAATCTTGGACTACAGATCACTATACAGTCAGCATTCAAGACAGGGATACTTTGGTTATTTCTCTATGGCTACTTTATATATATATAATTTACTGCATAGTATTTTACTCTTTTAAGTCTTTTCCTATACATTGAAATTCTTACCCTTGAAAGGACTATTATTGATGTAATAATAACATAATCATATAGATGTTGTTAATATATATGTGTGTGAGAAAGATGACAGTGCTCTTATGTATTTTTCTTGAGCAGTCAGTTGGTAATAAATCAATGATAAGTTAATATTATTACATTTTCATTAGAATATTGAAAAAATAGGGCATTTCTTAGAGGGGTAAGAAATAGTTGAAGTGTTTAATATCAAGTTGGAAAAGCAAGAAATAAAATGAAATCTAGAAAGTCCTTCCCGCCTATGGCAAAATACATTTTTTAAATTTGTTTTAGGTTATTACTTTTTTGTTTTATCTCTCTCTCTTTTTTTTATTTTTTAGTTTATTTCTTCCAAGAGACAGAACAAAGTATATGATAGGGAGACCCCTTGACAGTGTCCTACCACACCCTGGCCTCCTCTTCTCTAGACTTTCAGCTGGGCAGTCTCGTGGGTTCAACCAACATGTTCAGGTTGACCTGGGGACCAAACCCAGGACCTTCTCATGTAGCTTCAACATCACGCAGCAGTACCCAACTGCCTGCACCACCTTAGCAAGGCCAAAATTCATGATTTTTGTAGTAAAATTACAGATTAATTTTCTTTTACCTATAGAAAACATTGGAGGAAATTTAATTCTGTTGGACAGAATTCATGTTAGAATAGTTAGAAGAAAACTAGAAATTTTAGGGGCAGAAAACAAGTCTTTGAAAAGATATTGTATTACTTGTACTACTAAACAATTTATAAACATTGTGTGTGGGTTTTTTTATCCTGATAATAAAGTGTATTTTTTATATTTACTTTTACCTGACAATAAATCCGTAAGCACCAAAACCATGCTCGGAATATCTAATTGGAATATTGAATAGGGTAGAATCAACACATTTTCTACTAAGCACAAAAATAAATAAAATAGAACAGTTTAACAACTTACATAAGAAAAAATGAAGAAAGATATTAAGTAAATAAGGTTCATCTTGCATCATAAAAATGGACCTTTTGGGTTTTTTTCCCCAAAATTCTGTGAAGAAAGCAGCAGTCCCAGAAACATACTGAAGCCAGAGCTGTTGGCATTGGGGGTGGGGGGAGGTTGTTAGGATACCAGGAAGTTGGAGATTTGTCAGAAATGGCATACCTGCTCAAAGGAGGCCCAAAGCTCTGCACTGATGCGGCAAAAGGGAGAGTTTATAAACTCTCTATCCTCCTCTGTACTCTGGATCTTTATTCCCATCAGTATTTTCTAGCAAGAATGTCGTCCCGTATTTATGTTTGGCTAGCTCACATTTCTGGTTGGACTCAGTCACTCTAATTCACTCAGTGCTTTATATTCCCCCAAGTCTATGCCTCATTTCCGGGCATGTACGCATAGACCCATCATGGAGACCTGCCTCCCACCTATGTCACCTGAGGGGGTAGCTCTCTGAAGTAACTCCTAGGAGAAGTATTTATAAGATGACAAGGACATTTCTTTAGAAAATATATTTTTTTAAATGATAGCAAGTTGTGGATTCTATTTAACTTTTAACATGGTCAAATGGCAATTATTAATTAGTTCTCTTTTGTATTGTTTTTATTACTGCCAATCACAGCCAAGTGATCTAAGGAAACATCGAAGAAAGGTACTGTAAATAACTTTTATATGATTATTGCTCGAATTTTTTTTAACAAAAGCTTTAAAATGCTGTTTCTTCTATTTGATGTATTTTATTACCATAAAAATATATTTAAGAGCTATTGGATTATTTAAATGTGAGCATAGAAAACAAATACCTCAAAGCCAAAATCTTTTATGCTTTCTGGGACAATGACTAGATTATGAGGAGTAAGTATCTGGTTTTCCATGGAATAGTTAAATCATGGATGGTAAAATTTGATATTTGAGGTCGCTAGGTCAGGTGACAGTAGCCACTGCTAAAGTAGTTTGTTATTCAGAATTCTTAAGATCTGTGGTTGATCTGGAGACAGAAGGAGTAAGGGGAAAGGTTAGATAGGAGCCTTAGGAAAGGACAAAGCCCAGTCAACAGGGGTAGGATTGATCTTTGAATAATTATAGCTGCCTCTGAGATAAGCGGACTCTCTAGTCTCAAGCCTGGCCCTGGGGTGATTAGGGCAGAGGAAGACTGCCTCCAGGCATGTCAGAGCCAGATAGAGAAGATGACCCAGTCTGGGCTCTGAATTGGCTACTTTGCATATGAAGGTCATGGTTCTTAGGGCAGTAGCTTACTTTCACCAGGAATTAACTAGCCCTGGGAGGAGCTGTCTGTCCAAATGCTGGAGCATCAAGAATATAGAAAATAAGAAAATATAGTTAAAATACTACTTTCCTACTAAAAATGAAATCAAGAAAAATCAAGGAAACAAAGTAGATTCCAGTGCTGATCCATAAAATGCCATCGTATTAGATAACTGAGAACTGCAGAGCTTATGGTCATGGCCTATCAGATGGAGAGATTTCAAAGATTCAACCTAGAGTTGGCATTTCGTGGATCAGCACCGAAATCTACATTGTTTCCTATATCCCACATTTATTCTATTGATTTCAAAATGAAACATTCTTGTACAAAATGTTTCACTACAATTGATTTGATTGTTGGAAAGGTGCATGTGTTTTTTTAATTGCAACTTTATATCTCTATTTCTGACAAAAGGTATATCTCTAATTGTTTTAGATTTTGAAGCATATTGTTACAGAACTTCCTCCCATACTATGCTCACATTTGCCAATCTTCCTGTCACAATTACCAAGAATTATTTTCTAACCTTTTATTATTCTCAATTTAAAAGTAAAGTTTTTAATTCTATAAACTGTAACTCAATTTTTAAATGCTTTGGAATACATTTCATCAGAACAACTAACATAAAACACTTCATCTGACGAAGTTATAGTCTGCCAACTTCTCATTTCAAAAATTTCCCACTTAAAAAATATCTTTGTTATGATAACCTGATGATGTAAATACCTTTTAAGTGAATTTATTCAAATATGTGCTGGATACCTTTTTTATAAAGAATTTTGATTCTGCTGTGATGAAATGAATTCTAGATTAGCTTTCTCATAGTTGCTGAATATTGATCTATGTATGGTGTTTATTATTCTTTTTAATGGTTTCTTTTAAATTTTTGCTAAAGAGCAAATGTGCTCCCTGGAGAGAGACATGGTGGGGGGAGAAGAGAGAGAAAAAAGGGAGAGAAACCACACCCCATTGGGGATGGTCACACTACAATCCCTTCTCTATTTCTTGCCCTTTTGGGGAGATTTTGGGTATGCACATGTGCACACCAGGAATGTTTTGCAAACTATTGCATCTGGGACTTGGGGAACACAGCTGGCCATATGAGATCCCTTAACCACCATGCCACCAGCTGCCCCTGTGTTTATTATTATTAAACAGTAGTTTTGTATAGCGAGTCCATGATTTTTAATTATAGTGTTTTCACTTCATTTATTTATTCGCTTGTTTATTTGAGAGAGATTTTTGCTATAGGGCATGTGCGCTCACTGGAGAAGCAGAAAGAGTGAGAATCATTCCCAGGGTGGATGGCCATGCCACGATCCCCCTCCTCTATTCTTCTCCCGGGATCTTGGACATGCATGTACACACACATCCAGCATGATTTTCAAGCGGCTGAGTCTGGGACTCAAACTGCAGTGGGCCAGGTAGGAGTCCAGAGATGTAACTGCTGCATCATCTGATGGTCCCTGTTTTCCCACGTTAGCAAATGTGCAAACTATGCTTTTGAGTACTGTGGATGTATGTATGTAAGACTTGCATGCCCTGTTTTATTGTTGTTTTTAGAATTAATCAAATATCCTTGCTATTATGAGTCTTCATTTGTATTTATTTCAGCTGAAATTAAAAAAGAATTCATTTGGAATGTTCTTAATTCAGGAGTTCTGGGTGATCAGACCTAATACCTGTGCTGGTTCTTGACTTATGCTTAAGAATTAGAGACCGGGACACAGAGGAGAGTAAAGCAGAGCTTATCAGAAAAGGAAGAAAAGCTTCTAATGTGGTGGAAGAGGGCCTGAATGGGCTGCAGAAGAGGGTCTTGAGGAGAGGGGTTTTTATCTAGCTGTCAGAGCTATGGGCTAGCTTTCTCATAAGGAAGGGGGCTTTAGAAAAATTGTTACAAAGTAGCCTGAATGATTTGTTGTTTTCTTTGTGGGGTCAGCAGACCATGGAGTTCTATACTTATTGTTATAATGTAGATACTACATAGCTACACTTGCTTTGGGTTTCAATGTAGCCAGGTTTGGGCTATGAAAACTTTGCCACTGGGACTCCATCTTGGCTCTTTACCCTGTTTGTATGCTCAATATCCCTATGATTGCTTTGTTAGCAAGGAGTCATAAATTCTTTAGAGATATGTACAGGGAATATTGTAAGTTAATCAGACCATAGAGGGAAAACACAGTGACTTCCTTTTGGGGCCCTTACCCTGCCCCTGCAAGTGGGTCTAATTCCTATCTTATTTTTGTTTCTAGATTGCAGTTGTGGAAGAAGATGGTCGGGAGGATAAAGCAACAATTAAATGTGAAACTTCTCCTCCCCCCACCCCTCGGGCCATCAGAATGACACATACCCTCCCTTCCTCCTACCATAATGAAGCCCGAAGGTAAGCCTCTCAAGACACACTGCACAGCAAATACGCTCCTTCCAAAACATTCCTTTTCTTCAGTGTTATCAAGTAGACTACTTAAACATTCATGAGGATAGTCTTGCTTTCTCTTCCCACTATCACTTGTGAAATAACTGCATTTCCATCCTGAGATCAAATTTTTATTTTTTTACTTTTATTTTATTTATTTATTTATTTATTTATTTATTTATTTATTTATTTATTTATTATTATTTTGGAGAGGCTTTTTTGCTATAGGGCGCGTGTGCTAGCAAGAAAGACAGACAGAGAGACAGAAAGCGAGAAACCACCCCCCTCCCAGGGGGATGGCCATGCTGCAATCCCTTCTCCTCTTGGGATCTTGGGCATGCACGCACACATGCCCAGCGTGAGTTTGAGCCACCAGGTTCAGGACTCTTAACTGCGGTCGACTACATGGGAGTCCAGCAACATAGCCATTATGCCAACTGCTGGTCCCTCATATATATATATATATATTTTAATGTATGATATCAGTGCCAGCAGGTGGCACTGGACTTTCACATGGTCAAACATGGTTGGAGTCCTGGACCTGAAGGCTCATGCACTAGCTACCTTTTTCTCCTCTAACTCTCTTTCTCTGGTGGGTGCATGTGCCCTATAGCAAATTAAATAATAACAATAATGAATAAAATTAAATCTTTTTTTTTTAAAGTAACTGTATCTTCATGGTCTTGCAGCTCTTGTGTATTTAGTCAGTGTTTCCTATTAAAATAAGGTCAGGCTAGATAAAGCACTTAAGACTTATAACAAAAACTTAAGAGATTCTGGGCAAGGCTCTGAGCTATGGGCTGGCTTTCTCATAAGAAAGTGGGCTTTAGAAAATTGTTACAAAGTAGCCTGAATGATTTGTTGTTGTTTTATTTTTTGTGGGGTCAGCAGACCATGGAGTTCTGTACTTATTGTTATAATATAGATACTGCATAGCTACAGTTGCTTAGGCTACTCTGTAGCCTAAGAGTTAACTAAGGTCTAAAGAGCCCATGGTTATACCTCATTCACTTTTTTTTTTTTTTAAGTTTATTTCTTCCATCAGAGAGAGTGGGAGAGAGAGTTTCCTAAACTGGATCCTCACATCATGAACCACCCCCAGCCACTCAGACTCATGGGCATTTGTCCCCTGCATGAACAGGGAGGCCTCAGGGTGCAGACCCAGGACTTTCCCAGGTGCCTTCAACCTCACCAAGAATTGTATTATTGCTGTGCCCCGAGTCAGCTACTCATTAACTTTTAGCAGACAAGTATGTACTCCCTGTGGGTTCTGTTGCTGGTCATAATTATAACTTCTCAGGCAGAAGGCTTTTAGAAAGGGGAAGAGGAAGCACATTAACTAACATATTAAAGGAAAAGTCTAGATAGGAAATTATTTCTTTGTCATGGTGACTCCTCGTGTTTTATCCATATAGCTACAAAATCGCAGCTCAGCTATAGTGGTGCAGACTGCCAGGGCACTGAGCCCTTGCAGGCTGGGACCATATGGGAGGCCTGGATCCCACTACTGGTTTGACCTAAGGGCTGAACATATTGGTATGCACTTGTGGTCTCCCTGACTTGGGAGGCTGTGGTAGGAAGATTGTGAGCTGAAGCTGCTCTGGGTAACACAGAGAGATCCCGTTTGAAAGAGCCTGGCATGGTGACACTCACCTGTAATCCCAGATATAAGGCTTACCAAGAGGATCACAACAGTTAAACACTGTCTTTTTTTTTTTGGAGAGGTTTTTGCTACAGGGCGCGTGCGCTCACCAGACAGAGACAGAGAGACAGAAAGCAAGAAATCACCCCCCAGGGGAGATGGCCATGCCGCAATCCCTTCTTCTCCGTTCTCCTCTTGGGATCTTGGGCACACACGTACATGCACCCGATGTGAGTTTAAGCCACTGGGTCTGGTACTCGAACCACAGTCGACTATTTGGGAGCCCAGCTACATAGCCATTAGGCTAACTGCTGGCCCCAACAGTCTTTTTAAGAAAAGAAGTTATTTCTTTGTTTTTAATTTGCTAAAGGGTACATGCACTCCTTGGAGAGAGACACAGAGAGAGAGAAAGAACATGAAAAGGACCTCCCCTGGGGGATGGTCATGCTGCACTCACTCTCCTCCATTCTCCTTTCAGGATTTTGGGCATGCACATGCACACACCCAGCACGTTTTTCAAGCTGCTAGATCCAGGACTCAGACCAGTTAGTTGGGTATGTGGGATCCAACTGCCTTAACCATCATTGGCACTGGCCGCCTCCCTACCACACACACAAAGAGTTCTAACAGATCCTTGTAATAATCAATAATATAAATAAATTGAAGTATGTAGTTAACATCTTAAATGTTATGTCCTTTTATTATCTTATCAAATTGTAGCATCTCTGAACACATAATTGACATAACTAGATATGATGACTTGATTAATATTTTAATAATTTATCTTCTTGGGCCAGCCAGTGGCATAGTGGTTAAGGCGTTAGTCTCCCACATAGCCAATACAGTTCGAGTCCCAGCTTGAAAATCTTGCTGAGCACATGAGTGTCCAATATTCCAGGAGAATGGAGGAGAAAGGATTGCAGTGTAGCCATCCCCCCAAGGAGTAATTTCTCAATTTCCCTTCCACTGTCTGTCTGTCTTTCAGTCTCTCTCCACCTTTCCCCACCACAGCAAGCACACTCACCCTGTGGCAAAAAACTTAAAGACAAAAAGAGTTTATCTTCTAAGTAGTATATTTTACTACAAATGCTTTTGAAACCAAAGCTTTCTGTGCTGACAAACACTTTTTTTTTCCTATTTCAATGATTTTTCATCTCTACTATAGAAAAAACTAGTTATTTCAGCTTCAAAACTTACTTCACTCACCAAGTAAAGAGTGAATTATATTTTAGCATAGTAGGAGCTATTGCTTTGGCGGTTAGGGAATGTAAACTCTCATGAATTAGGATGAATAAATAAAGTTAAGTAAATCATCATGGTACTATCAAATCAACAACCTCAAAAACTTACTTATAGCAATAGATGGGGCCAGCAGATAGTGTGGTAGTTAAGGCACCAAACACTCCCACATGGCCGACCATGGTTCAAGTCCCGGACCTGATGGCTCGCTTTCTCACTTTCTCTGTGTGTGTGTGTGTGGTCAAATTAAAATAAATGAATGGATAAATAAAATTAAATAAAAAATAATTCTTAAAAAAAAACCCTTACTTACAGAAATATGTATTAGACCTCTCCTATTGGTACAGTGACAAGTACACAGACCAGACTTGAACTAGATCAACTGCTTGGAAATCATGTCAGCATGTTATGTATGTAAGAGGATACTTGAGAACTGTAACTAGATATGAAATATACCATAGCCATGAAGGCATCTTATTTGTTGCTTCTAGACCTTACTCAGATGATTTTAAATGACGTGAATTAGATTGCAAAATCTTAAAATGATGACGAGAGAATCTCAGTGAAATCATAGGTTAGAATAATAACTTCATCTTCATGATTTAAATGACATAGCTCAATGTCTTACCATCGGTCATTATGTGGCAGATTGGAAAAACTAAATCCGAGAATGAGATATGGGTCAAGTGCTAAATAACAGTTCATCGGGACCAGCAGTTAGTGTAATGGCTATGTCACTGGACTCCCATGTAGTTGAACGCGGTTCGTGTCCTAGACCCAGTGGCTTAAAACTCATGCCGGGCACGTGTGCATGTGTGCCCAATATCCTGAGAGGAGAATGGAGGAGAAGGGATTGCGGCATGGCCATCCCCTCTGGGGGGTGATTTCCTGCTTTCTGTCTCTCTGTCTCTGTCTGACTGGTGAGCACACATGCCCTATAGCAAAAACCTCTCAAAAAAGAAAAAAAAATTAAAATAACAGTTCATGTAATATACTGTTAATAAACCAGCCTATGTATGTTGATCAGTTTGAGCTTGGGTAAAGAATTGGCAGGGGTGGGGAGACACATGGGACAAAAATTAATTTTTCTTGGAAAACTTTGGAGATTCAGGGCCCTGAGGCTGAGGAAACTACACTTTAATAGCTTACGAGGAAACCTGGGAAGAAAGTGTCAAAATAGCCTTCCAAGCCTACTTGTTCCTTTTTTGTACATGTATAAAAGACATCTTCTGGGACCTGTGGGTTTTGCATCAAAATGAACTATCTGCCATTTTTGTATTTTGCAGTAGTTTATCCGCCTCTCTTGAGCCAGAAAGCCTTGGGCTTGGCAGTGCCAACAGCAGCCAAGACTCTCTTCACAAAGCCCCCAAGAAGAAGGGAATCAAGTCTTCAATAGGACGTTTATTTGGTAAAAAGGAAAAAGCACGTCTTGGCCAGCTCCGTAAGTATCTTGTGTTTGACTTTGCACTTTACTCATTTTAGTTACTTCTGAGTGCCCGTCTTGCTTTCATTTCATTTCTCTTCATTTCTTCTCTTTCCCACCTGAAAATCTTTCCATTTTAATCAGTTTTGTGAACCCAATATAGCTGAATCATGCTTAATAAAATCACAGTGAAAGAATATGGCTAAACTCTCCCAGTCCTTTTATTTATCTGTTAACAGCCATGGCTAGAACTTCCCCAGTGCTAACTCTTCTGACAAGCAGCGAGTGTTATTGCTGCCACCTCTTCTTTACAGATAAGTAAACCATGTCTTAGCAATCTACAGAGCTGGGATATTCATGCTCGCGCCAAGATTTCAAAATCAGCTTAAAACCATTGAGTTTAAGGTACAGATACTGTATGCAAGCTTAGCTATGTGAATTTAAAGACTTTTCTGTTGGGAAAAAAAAAAATGAGATACTTATAAAAATCTGAAAAAAATTTCAAATCATAGTAAAGTGGTATAATATGTAGGATATAAAATGTAAAAGATAGGATTTCTTCGTTTAAAGTTATTATAGCTTTTCCTTAATTAAACTCTATAGCACAGAGGTAAAGAAGTGGAGAAAGAGTCGGGCAATAGGGATTGTTGTTGTTAGTGACTATTTGAATAAAAGTATAAATCAGTATATTTGAAATGATTATGTATATTTATAAATAGATACATACAATATACATATAAAATTGAAACAAAGAATATGAATTATTTCTGAAAAAAAATATATGCTTGGCTTTGTTGTTGTTGTCTTCCTAGATATTTATTTTTAGAGTTAAATTTTTTGGGAGAGGGTTGAACTATCTCTAATGGTAAAGGCTAAACACAGTGATACAATTTTCAGTATTTCCTTTGGTTTCTCAATTTAAAAAAAAAAAATGATTATTTACAAAATGCCCCAACTCAATTTCCTTTCCTAGCACAAGAATTGCTGTGTATGAAATTAGTGTTTACAGACTTATGACTATGGTATTATTTTAAAATTCCTTTGCTGATTTCTTCAGTGTGTAATCCAGACAAAGCATTTGAAGCTCTAGGAAACTGATATGTAACCAGCTGTGTGATTAAGGGAGGTTAAATTCACTTTAGACTTCTATTTCTCCTGAGAAATTTCTTAGGCTGTAAAAAACATTATTATATAAGGAAGGAAGCGAGAAACTGATTTTTTAATATAAAATATATATGCCAAATATTATTTTAAAATTTCTATATATATATATATATATGCATATATATATGTTCATCTTAGGTTCTATAGTTTACTTTTTTCTTTGAAAATGTATTTAATTGTCTTCACTTAAATTTTTCTAATTCTGTATTTAACTCAATAAAGAATTTTGCCAGTTGGGCCAGCAGGTGGAGTGGTGGTTAAGATGCTAGACTCCAAGTGGCTGAGCACAGTTTGAGTCTCAGACCTGGCAGCTTGAAAATCATAGTGGGTGCATGTGCGTGTGTACCCAAAATCCTCAGAGGAGAATGGAGAAGGGATTAAGCATGGCCATCTCCCTGGGGGTGATTTCTAATATTCTCTCTCACTGTCTCTTTCTGTCTCTCTCTCTCTGGTACTTGCCTACGACAAAAACCTTTAAAAAATTGTCAACAATATTCTGTAAAAATCAGGGTATCCAAGATGTAGTGAAAGCCTAGAAAAGCAGAAATCTTTCTAGAAACACAGCCTTTATTATCCTTTAGCGACTATGTCATCAGTCAAAACAGATGACAATGGGCTCAATTAAAATGACATCATTATCAACCTCGACAAAGTTACAAAGTAACAATGGTTGTTTGGGTTCACATCATAGACCTGGGAGGACTTCTAAGCTCTGAGCAATTTTATTTTACCCCATGGAACAATAGAGGTCCAGTGTGAGCAAAGCCAGGCAACACCAAGCACAGGTGGAAATACCAAATGAGGAAGAAAAAGGACAAACGCTCTATCCATGGGACCATGTGCGAGCTACACAGAAGACAAATCAAGGCTCCAAGAGAAACCAAGAATACAAAGTCTTTATTGAAAATAAGACCTGAGGAAATGTGGAGAAAATATAGGTATACGTAGGCTCCAAGGAACCATTTCTGTACCAGGAGAAAACAGAACAGTGCCCCCACTGGAACTTCGGTTCAGAGGTATGGAAAAGCATCTCTCACGATCATGATTTTGACGTCTTGATCAGAAAATACAGGAATAAGAGCACTGCCACTGTTCTTTCTTCTACCATTAAAAGTCTAAATAGCACATTTAAAAAATGTCATGAAAAACAATAAAGATCTGATGGTGTCAAAAAAACAAATTTAAAATTTTGAATCATGTCGTAATATTTAAAACACTTTAAGAGTTATTAGCTCATAAAGATGGAGGATGTAAGTTTGAGAGCAGGTCTGCTACACACCTATAAATAAAATACGGTACCAAGGAAGAAAACAATAAGCAGAACTATGAAAATGTTTCCTTGGTTCCATCATAAATGAGAAACCATGAAAGAGGAGTTTGTGATAATTCACAAGGGAAAATGCTGGGATAAGAATTCTTTGCCTTCGGGACCAGCAGTTAGCGTAATGGCTATGTTGCTGGACTCCCACGTAGTCGACTGCGGTTTGAATCCCGGAGCCGGTGGCTTAAACTCACACCAGGCACGTGTGCGTATGTGCCCAAGATCCTAAGAGGAGAATGGAGGAGAAGGGATTGCAGCATGACCATCCCCACTGGGGAGTGATTTCTTGCTTTCTGTCTCTGTCTCTCTCTGTCTGTCTGGTGAGCACATGCGCCCTATAGCAAAAACCTCTCAAAAAAAAAAAAAAAAAAAAGAATTCTTTGCCTTGTATAATACTTTGAAAAGTCAGGGTTATACTATAGACTTTAAATGTGGCAGGTCAGTCAGTGTCACCGCATTGATAACCCCAGCCTTGAAGAATCGAACTCAATTTGCTCATTGTCTATTTCTAAAAACATGTTACTAGCAGAAGCAGCATACATACGAAAACACCAAAACGCAAAGGAAGAGACATATTGAATGGCAACTGAATAATGTTTAATAGAATGAAACCAAACAGAATTATTTCATTCCAAAAAATCTGTCATGGTATTTCTTTTCTGAATGATTGGTTCCCCTAAATCAGAAGCACAGCACAGAGACAGGTGTGGTAGAAATGGGAGGTTTCAAATTTTCATAGGATTTGCTAATTAAAATGTTAATTTGGGACATCAAGTTATGGGCAAGGCATAAAATAGCAGGGAGTGGCATGAGATAAAATGGAGTAGGAAGCACCTAGTTTTCCATTCAAGACATTCCAATTTAATTTTTAAGTACTATGTAGGAAAAACAAGGTATATGTACAAGGGGTGTTCAAAAAGTTCATGAAAGTGCATGTTATGAAAAAACTGGGCAAAGATTTCAAAATTTTTCCCACCAAAATAAATTCTTATTTTAATTCCACCTTTCCACAAGCTTTTTGATGTCCCCTCATGCAAGCCACGTCTATGAGAAGGCCACAAATGAATTTGAAAAAAGTCTCTTGGCAAATAAAATGTCCCTTGTGGCATCCTTGGAGATCTGGTTTTAGTTTCTCCTTTTCTGTTTCTCTCTCTTTTACTTTGGCCCACTACCTTATTCTGTCACAAACACCAGAATGAAAAGATGAATAAACAGGTTTGGTAGTCTCACTGAAGGACAAGAAGACAGCCGGGTCAATAAATACTCCTGCTGACTTCCAGGAGCCTATTATAGTGGGTCATCAGAAAAGTCATGACGTATTTTTTCCATGTGAAAATGTGTCACGACTGTTCCAGTGGCCCAGTAGATCCAGGGTGTTACAGTAGACCAGGGAGCATGACCCTCCTGAGCCCTGATTCATGCCTCTAGATGCCGGGCAGCTCTGGCAGTTCAATTAGTGCTCACATGCGCTTGTATCTAATCTGTAGCTTAAAAATCATCACTTGCTTCTGCCATCCTCCTCAAATACTGACTTACCTTTCTGGTACTTAATAGCTAAGATTAAGTCAGTTACATACAAGTTCTCTTTTTACTTCATCTGTCAAACTCTTTACAACCTACCACAGACTGAAGTCCATATATACTGTTAAAAATTCTAGAAATTGTTACTACAGAAATTCTAGATACAAATGCAAGTCTTAACTAACATGGAAAATTGGTTAGGAGAACAAAGGCTAAGACCTGTCAAAGCAATTCAAGAGAATGATAACATACTCATAATTACATTTGTGAGATGTAAAATTAAAGAAGCAGCAGTATATCTAAAATAGGACTTCTCCACCTAACACAGATTTTAAAATATGTTATTACTGGGGCAACAGGTTGCATAGTGGTTAAGGCGCTGGACTCTCACATGCCGACTGTGGTTTGACTCCTGGACTGGAGGCTTGAAATTCATGCCAGGCATGCTCAAAGTCCCAAGGAGAATAAAGGAGAAAGGATTACGGCATGGTCATCCCTCCCCTCAGGGGTGAATTCTCACTTTCTCTCCCTCTCCTTCTCTCTCTGTCTCTCTGGCCAGCACACATGCCCTATAACAAAAGCCTTTCTTAAAAAAAAAAAAAGTGTTACTAAAGCAAGAAAGTAACCAATGATAAATATGAGTGAGTAGCATATTCTTGTAAAAATAATCTCAGAAATGGTGTCAGGCAAAATCAACTGATAATTGGAAAAACTCCCCAGATCAAAAGGGAAATTCTAAAATATGTATTACTTTTGTTTAGTGATATTTAAATGAAATATTTACATTAAAAATTATGAACAAATTGCTTATAAATGAAGTGATGCTACTTTGGATCAAGGTTATTAGTGGCATGACTAGGTCTCACTCTATCCCTTAAATTAGAAGTTGAAATGTAAATAAATAAATTTAAAAGAAAGTAAATTCATTCAAAAAAAGCCAATGAATACAATGGAGGTTTATTTACCTGCTGTAAATGGAGCATAAAAATAAGTGAAGCTATTCAAAATCTCT